AATAAATTGACCCTGTATTGAATTAAAACTAAAATCACAATATCTTGGTTCTTTTTATTTCTTTCTGCTATATTTACACTGGAGCGTAATTCCACCACGCCCCCGTGTAATCATTTGGTCCTTCGAGCCAGTCCAATGAGCACAAGTTACGCAGCTGTTCCCGCTTCTTAAAGATGACACCATCTGAAAGAATAGAGTTCATGAAAAACAACAACTCTTGCTTGAACTGTCTTAAGTCTGGACATACTGTGTCAAGATGCACATGCTCGTTTAATTGCAGCAAGTGCCACTCCCGACACCACACGCTCCTGCACCTTGAGACTGACCAGCAAAAGCCTACAGCGCACCAAATGCCGCCAAGCTCAACTGGTAATCGAGCATCTTCATCGAAGCAAGCACAAACAAGACGCAAGACAGGAAAACCAAATTCAACTGGGGACAAAAAAGTCAAGTCTTGTTTTGCAAATTGAAATACTGGTGTGCTCCTAGGAACAGCGCGCGTAAATATACATTATAATGGAACCGATTTTTCTGCAAGAGCTCTTATTGATTCCGGGTCTGAGTGTTCCTTTATAACGGAAAGACTCAAACGCCGAATCAACCTGCCATCCAAAAGGTTGCATGCCCAAGTTTCCGGCATCACAAATTCCATATCGGCGCAGGTCAAAGAAGCATGCAATATAGAAATACGGTCACCGATTGACCCATTATTTCGGTCGAATACCACTGTGCTTGTCTTAGCACAACTAACTGGAAATCTTCCAACTACCCATATTAGCGCTGAAACTAAACAAGCATTCCCAGATTTGGTTTTGGCCGATAAAAGGTTCTTTGTTAATGAGCAAGTGGACCTTGTGCTTGGAGGAGATATTTATCCAGAAATCATTTTGAGCGGCTTGAAGAAAAATGTACTTAATACTCTTCTAGCCCAAGAAACCGTGTTCGGTTGGATATTAACCGGCCGCCCAGATGCAACAAGTGCAACCAACCATATTGCTTCATACTTCAGCGAAGTCGCCTTGGATAAGCAGCTTACTGCGTTCTGGGAAGTAGAGGATCTGCCGAAAAGCAAAAGCCTAAGTGAGGAAGACAAGTACTGTGAGGAGTTGTACAAGAATACAACTCAACGTACCCAAGACGGGAAATATGTAGTTTCGCTACCATTCAGGCAGGATTTTCCAAAGAATGTCTGCCTAGGACCCTCCCTAAAAAGAGCGTGCTCACAATTTTTCCGACACGAGACGCGATTGGCCAAGGATCCTGGACTACAAAAGGAATATAACAGGGTATTATCGGAATACGAATCGTTAGGGCATATGTCAAAGCTAATAAATAATATACCAGCAGAGTCCTCCGACAACTATTTCCTGCCTCATCACGCGGTCATCAAGGCAGAAAGCACGTCAACAAAACTTCGCGTGGTTTTTAATGCCTCAAGTCCGACGGCAAATGGTGTAAGCCTCAATGATGTACTGCTCCCAGGACCAGTACTCCAGGCGGATCTTCCCATATTAATCCTACGTTGGAGATTATATAAATACGTCTTCAACAGCGACATCGAGAAGATGTACCGGCAAATTATGGTGCATGACAATCACACTAAGTTCCAGCGCATAGTTTTTCGTACCAATACGAACGAACCGATCAGTCTTTACGAGCTGAAGACGGTCACTTTCGGGGTTAACTGTGCTCCTTACTTGGCAATAAGGACACTTTTACAACTAGCTGATGATGTGGAAAACTCCTCTCCGATAGCATCCAATATTTTACGAAGATGCATGTACGTCGACGACGTTCTAGCGGGAGGACACAGCATTGACTGCGATAAATGCCAGAGATGAAATAACCCAAGTGTTAGAGTCAGCCGGTTTTCCATTAAGAAAATGGACTGCCAATTGCGAAGATTTACTGAAAGACATTCCAAAAACGAATCTGCTAACCGAAGATTTTCTTGAATTCGAAGAAACTAGCGCAGTGAAGGCTCTCGGCATAAGATGGAACGCCCATACGGATTTATTCTATTTTATGGCGAGACCATTAGAAGAAAGCGATAATCCAACGAAAAGGGCGATATTATCAGCTATCGCCAAACTTTTCGACCCCCTGGGGTGGCTCGCGCCCATCATAATCGTAGCCAAAATACTAATGCAGGGTATTTGGCTGGAAGGCACGGACTGGGATGAAACCGTAACTCCAACCACCCTGGATCGCTGGAAAAATTTTAAACAACATTACCATGAGATCGATAACATACGAATACCTCGATGGGTACATTTCTCACCAACAGATGACGTCGAAGTACATGGCTTCTGTGACGCATCGGAAAAAGCGTATGCGGCTGCTGTATATCTGCGCGTTACACAAAATGCAAAAGTTTTCGTAAGTCTACTTTTGGCAAAAACAAAAGTAGCCCCAGTAAAGACTATCTCATTACCTCGATTGGAACTTTGCGGCGCCGTACTGCTTGCAGAAATCATCGAGACGGTTCTGAGAAATCTTGACTTGGGACATTTAAAAGCACACCTGTGGACGGACTCAACAATCGTTCTCGCGTGGATACGAAAGCCGCCTTGTTCGTGGTCGACCTTTGTCGCCCACAGGATAACAAAAAATAGTAGAAAAAGTTGGTAATAAGAACTGGCTGCATGTGGATTCGGCATCAAATCCAGCAGATTTAGCCAGCCGAGGACTGCCTGCTTACGAATTGGTTGACAATCCCTTGTGGTGGCAGGGACCTTCTTGGTTACAAGAAGACCAAACTAAATGGCCTGTACAAGAGGCAAACTACAACACAATAGTCGAGGAAAAGAGGGTGCATGTGCACGCAGCAACTAAAATAAATAATGCAACTAATATTTTAGATAGATTTTCAGGATTGCCTAGGGCTTTGAGAGTTTTATCATATATTATAAGATTTTTTCAAAGAACCCATCCAAAAACAAGAGCTTCGTTTCGAGCCGAGACTTCTTTAATTTCCGCTGATGAAATTAAAACAACGACTCAACGCTTGATAAAAATCTGTCAAAAGCAACATTACTTTGAAAAGTATAGTAAATTGAAATCCGGGGAATCCATCGATGCGAAGAGTGAAGTTTTGCCCCTTAATCCATTTCTCGATAGAGATGATATCATGAGGATGGGTGGTCGCCTCGGCGCGTCTCAAGATCTGGCCTATAATGAGCGCCATCCAATTGTCCTTCCATACGATTGTAGATTTTCTCGCCTTCTTGTCCAGTTTGTCCATGAGATTTCTTTGCATGGGGAAAACCAACTAATGTTACGTCTCATTAGGACGCAATATTGGATTCCCCGAGTCAAAAACATGATCAGGTCCGTCATCCACAACTGCAAAGTCTGCACTATCCATAAGAAACGGTCACAAACCCAACTTATGGGTAACCTACCGAAAGAACGCACAACATTCTCGCGTGCGTTTACAAACACAGGTGTCGATTTTACCGGGCCCTTTGAGATTAAGAGCTATCGCGGCCGCGGTTGCCGCATTTCCAAAGGCTACGTTTGCCTTTTCGTTTGTTTTACGACTAAGGCAATTCACTTGGAAGCGACAAGCGATCTCAGCACCCCATCCTTTCTGGCAGCATTCGCTAGGTTTGTTGGTAGAAGAGGATGTCCGAAAAACATGTACTCCGACAACGGCACCAATTTTGTCGGAGCTTCTCGATCATTACGATCTGAAATGAAGGCGTTCATAGCAGAAGCGCGTGATAAAACCATATCGAAATATAGTCATCAAACACTTACATGGCATTTTATACCCCCAGCAGCTCCTCACATGGGCGGACTGTGGGAGGCGGGTGTAAAAAGTTTCAAAAACCACTTCAAAAAGATTGCATCCACCCACAAATACACCTTTGAGGAGCTCAGTACCTTATTATGCCGAGTTGAGTCTTGTCTCAACTCGCGACCGTTAAGTCCCTCATCGAACGAGCCAACTGACTTGGAGCCTCTAACTCCCGGTCATTTCCTCATAGGCGGTCATTTACTCGCGCCACCGGAATTAGATGTAAATGAAAACCCAGCCTCCATAATAAATAGGTGGCAGAAATTAAAGGCTTTACATCAAACCTTTTGCAGGCGATGGAAGTCAGAATACCTATCCGAACTACAGAAGCGAATTAAGTGGAAAAATCCAAAGCAGAATATGGAGATTGGTGATCTCGTCGTTATAAGAGAGGACAATTTAGCGCCTAACGAATGGAGATTAGGCAGAGTAATCAACCTGCACCCCGGTTCCGACAACCGAGTGCGTGTGGTGGACATCACCACCGAGAAGGGTCAGGTAACACGACCGCTGGCAAAACTTATCCTACTGCCACCGTACAACGAGAGAATTGAGAAGCCACCGAATGCTTCTTGATTCTACCCCTTATATGATTACCTAACCCTCTCAACGAGACACCAACTACATCAATATTCCACTCCGTCAGTACCCATACAAATTCCACTTCTATACCTCATGAGAGATTCCATTGAAAATGTGAAAAAGTGTCATTGTCGGGTTTAAAATTATCGGTGAAAAATTGACGCCAGTCATATGAAATTTATATGAAATTCATATGTAATAATTGCATTTGCGCTTTATTTTAGTTTTGAGAAACATTCAAATTAAAGTAAAAAGGTAACGAAATGCGCGCAATTACCATATAAATAAATTCACTAAATTCTCCTGTGAAAGCTCTCCGACGCGGCTATTTAGTTTTTTTCGCTATTGTGGCGACAATTTTGTCAGAGTGACAATTGCCAGCCCATTGCCGACAATATTTCAATATATATACTGTCGAAAAAATTTTCACAATTGCCTACAAGCGTATTTGAAATATAAAAAAGGGGCAACAACAAAAACACAACACCACCCTATACCAACTCGCCTGGGTTTCTAACAACTTATTCAATAAATCATATGAAAATCTTTTCATCACTCACCTACACATAGCAGAGACCCTCGAAGTCTAACCATTAGATAAAAAATCTCGCAATTCAGAAGAATCGTAAGACAGCTCCTCGTTGCAACCCGTATATGTCAACTGCCGTTTCCACAGAAGGTTCGGTTCCTAAATCGAGTTTACAGAAATTATTAACACATGGTATCACGTTAAATTTACCACTCACCTGCGGATTAAGGTGTGATGCTAAGTCCTCACCTGGGCAAAGGTACATAGGTATGTACTCCTGCAGTTTATCTTTGCGTGCGAAAGTACTTGGACAAAGACTACATTGGAATGGCTTTGAGTTTGTATGTGTACGAATGTGTCGCATCAGATCTGTCGCGCTTGAAACGGATTGTGGGCAACGCGTACAAACATGTGGTTTTACGCTGCTATGAATTTGTATGTGTTTTGTTAAATTGGTATTACGAGAAAAGCTTTTTGCGCAAACAGGACATGAGAACGGGCGCACACCAGTGTGTACAATGGTGTGTTTTTTTTTTTCCAAATCCGAACGCCGGCAGAAGCCCTTTTTGCAGAATGCACATACATATGGCCGCTCAGGATCATGTAGTTCCTTGATATGGTATATTAAATTCTGACGACTTGATGTGCGTTGTGAACAAAAGCTGCAGACATAAGGTGCGGCACTGTCGTGTTGTGATTCATGCTCTTGGCATTCTGGTTGCGTTGTAAATGCCATATCACAATACTGGCAAAGGAAGGTGTTTTTAATCACAATTTCTCCGGCAATAAATGAGTCCCTACCAAGCATGTTGGGAAAAGCAGTTGGTGCTTCGGGCGCAGGCATAGAGTTGTCGGTGTTTTGCTGTTCCTCTGTGGTCATAGGAACTGTTGCCGATAGCGAATCGTTTGGTTCATTTGTCGGTTGCTGCGATAATTGATGCGTGTCATTTGTAGAAGTTTGCATTTGCAAGGCGTGTGGTGATGAAGCCGAATGCTCTTCGCCCTCCGAATCCGATTCCATAGAAAAATCATCCTCTGAACTTTCGTAATCTTGATTGGGGTTCACTTCAGTTATTATGCAATTATCTTCAGGCTCAAATGTGCCTGGGTTGCCATTAAGACCCGGACGTTGATCCACGCAATCTGCCGTTCTTCTATTTTGGCGTTCCACCCAACTCTGCAACTCAGTCTCAATTCTTTGCACATTTTCGCGAAAAGCGGAAAACGCCTCAACCATTGCAAAACAGCGCTGGCAGATGTTACTAGGCAACAACGTTGATTGCTGAAACTTAACACCTAACAAGTCATACAGCCGTTCCACCATTGGCATTCTTTTCTCTGCTCCAACGGTTGGTGGCGTTTTTTGTGCTGACTGTGGAGGCCCCGGCGAGAGATTGTGGAGGCTCCTGCTCAAAGATATTCACAATTGATTTGTCATGACGCAAACATAGGCGACATAGTCCAGTGCCGTCATCCATTGCTGAAGATTTTTTTTTAACATGTTGCATTTCCGCTATGGGAAATAAGAAGTCTTCTTATTTATTTGAATTGTTTCTTTCTAACACTTGCGCAAGTCATAATTATGAGTTCACAAAATCTAACTATAGCATTAACATGCATATCTTACAGTTTCTAAAAATAAAATAAAATACAATTTATTAGCGTACCATGTATGTAGAGTATGTATGTATGTACTATGTAAATGCTTTATAAATAACTTAAAGATCCTGGTCCGTGAGCCTCTGCACCACGCATCAGCCGCTCCTAGGAAACCGTATTAAGTGGTGGAAAAGGATTCTGCTTGGACACCACCAACTTGTTGTGACTGTATGAGATGTAGCCCTTGATTTTACCTCTCGCTATACGCGTCCGATTCTGGAACGGAGACCAGGCCTCTCCGTCCAGATATTGAAGAGGGCGAGATTATAGAGTTCGGAGTGGAGACTCGGCCTCTCCACCTGACTACTGCAAGGGTACCGGAAACTAGGTCTTTCCGACCTTTACTCCAACACGAGCGCGATCATCAACGACCGCATAAGCGCCAACGACCGCATAAGCGCCAACGACCGCACAAGCGACAGCGACCACACCAACGACAGCGAACGCATCAGCGACGCCACCGAGACTGCAGAGCGGAAACTCGGTCTTTTCGCCTGCAGCGATCTTCGCGCAACCCATCGCCATCCGCATATGAAGATAGACTGGCGACTAGGCCTCGCCAGCTATCACTACCAAGCGCGTTCCGTAATGGGTTATCGGCGAAAAACCCCATTGTAGGGCCAACCTTCCGCCCGATGGTAGCTATTCCTCCGACGGCCGTGGTCAAAATTGAGGCGGGAGGGCGCTTGCATTTAATCCGCGCGCTTATTGACGTATGCGCTCCAACGACAATTGTATCTGCGGATCTGGCCCGCGAGCTACGGCTAAAGCAAACACGAGTCGGCGAGCAAACGGGCAGTCTCGTATGTCTCCGAGGGAAATACGGCCAAAATAAACGAGTTGCGACCCATGCCGTGGTTACGCCCCATTTCCACCGAGTAGCGCCAAGTAGCAGTGTAGATCCGACGGTCGCCGCAACATACGCACATATCCGTTTAGCGGATCCCAAATTTTACGAGTCCGCGCCGATACGCCTGGTACTCGGCACCGACGTATACGCCGATATTCTGCTACCCGGCATTCTTCCGAATACCTTCGGGCCTCTGCTGGCTCAGAGCACCATCTTTGGATGGGTGCTTTCCGGAGTCTGCAGAGCATAGTTTTTTTTTAAATGAAATTTTATTATAGCCATAATTTTGTTTAAATGGATTTTATTTCTATTGAGAAAAAAAAAAAACAATGAATTTTTATATAAATATAAAATAAGTCGTGAATAAAGTGCATTTGAATAGTAACCACGTCTATTTCTTTAATTCCCTTTTTCAATTTCTGTAGTAGCTACAAAGAAAGAAGGACGAACTTGTTGGACGCCGAAGCTGCTGCTGGAATGCAAATGAATATTTCGAGATTAAAATTTTTTCTATTCTTCCAACCGAACAAGTGCGCCTGATAGCTGAGACGCGGTCAAGTTTGTAGAAGTTGCTTATCGCAAGGGGGCCGGCATGTTTAGGCCTTCAGCCTAAATAGTTTTTCGTACTTTTGGTGAACCGCTCTAATGCTGGCATATGTACATATGTACATGTATATACACTCATACAT